ATGAAGTGCAGAGCTCAATGGCTGAAACTTTCAGTAACAGATATACTACATGTCACATCTACATTCTGTTTTTGCCTTTTAGCCCTGACTTTGTACAGCAAGGTCGTTCTCAGTTAGTGACAATCTCCCTTGAGTGAGAATCTTTGTACTCTGTAAAGTCTATAATATGCCTATAAAGGTGAAAAGACATGTCAATAAGTTGTTTTAAATTTTTCATCTATAACATTCATCAGCCTTTGATAATGTATTATCTTAAAGCAGAAAAAGGTACATTATGAGTATTTTGGTGCTATTTCCGGTTGCACACAATTTAAAATTTTCTGGATTGCCTTAGTTTTTTTATGCCAATTTTATTTGGATTCTTGACTCTTAGATCATGCAGAGCTGATTGCGAGTGATTTAGTTCACCTGAAACTCAGTCTTCCAGAATGAGCCATGGTGGCAAGAATGGCTTTAGGGCAGCAGCTGACCAAAATGCTGGGTCACACATTCTGATCTCTACATACAGGCTTTATAGCAACTTTACCTTAAAACATTTTTTTTATCTTAAAATTTGTTCAGCGTTTTACAAGGGAGATTTGTTGGCATGAGGAGATAAGTGAGCCTATGTCAAGACAAGCATATTAAATACTGATCTTATCAACTGGATTTCTGACTCCTAAGGTAATGTTGCTTGTCTTGAGAACATAGAATTGACTGAACCAGACTGAGTTTTAGACTGAGAGTGGTGTGGATTCTTAAGGAAATTATATAATAGTTACACCATCAACAATAACTACAATATTGAATGATATAATGACATCCAACAAAAAGAATGGGAAAAGTAGTTGCGATCGATCAAACATATATAAAAATAGAGATGTGTGGCCTCTTTTCTCCTTCTAAGGTTTGCCTGTGAGGATGGAGATGCATGTGAATTACTGAAGGGCACACACTGTGTTTCTGTGCCTTGCTCTCAGTTAGGCCCCTACCAGAGGTCTGCATCTTCATTTTAATTTTCCCTGAGAATTTGGCTATCCCCTCTCAGAGTCACACATAGGATAAGCACAGAGATTTGCAGCTTCACATGTAAGACTTAACTACTTTTCACTTTGGTAGGTAAGCTCCATTCTACAGATGGGGAAAACTGAGACTCAGAAAAGAAAATAGCTTTTTCAAAGCCACACAGCAGAGGCTGGCCTTAAAACCTAGTCCTCCTGCTTCTCTCCCTCCTCCTCCTTATTCTTTTAATATTTTTTTCTTTATTGATTTTAGAGAGAGAGGAAGGGAGAGGGAGAGAGGCAGAAACATCAATGAGAGAGAACATCGATTGGCCGCCTCCTGTGTGCCCCTCACTGGGGATCGGGCCCACAACCTGGGCATGTGCCTTGACCGAGAATTGAACCAGTGACCTCTTGGTGCAGGGGTCATTACTCAACCAGTGAGCCACACTGGCTGGGCGCACCTAGTTTTTCTGACTCTAACCTCAGAATAGGTCCTGCCAGAATGGGCTAAGGCTGCATGTTCTTGACCCGAGTTTCAGTATTAGGAATTAGATATAACTCTACCAATTAATAGGAAAAATAACTTGCCATAGATAATTACTGATGATAATGATACAAATTGTGACTCAGTATTAGCCTGACAGGTTGGAGAAAAACTGTTGTTGGAGTGGCTTTGTGCTCCACATACGGTAGCAGAGGGCGATTCATTTATCCACTCAACAAATACGCATTAAATGTCTGCTCTGTGCCAGACTGCTTCATGCACTGGCAAACATAACTGAACAAAACAGACAAAATGCTCTGCCATCTCAGTGCTAGGAAAGAGAGATGGATGATAAGCTTGTTAAAACTGCGTAATAAACACTATGCTTGTGACAGAGCTGGTGATCATATGATCTTTAGGCAAAAATTCAATGTCATCAAACCCCACGTTCTCTCAGTGATATTTCAGGTTTATTGCAATAAGCTCATAATATTTTTAAAACTCCTATAGAAAAATCTGTTTGTTATTGTGAACCTGAAATTCTCTAACTCCTACCTATCTCCTGTTCCCCCCATTACCACAATTTTAAAAACAGGTTTTTAAATATAAGATATTAAAAATAATATAAGAAACAAACAGAAAGCACAATAATTAGTCCATGGGCCAACATCTGGATCATAAGTGAGTTTTCATTAACCCATTATTTATTTTTATTTAAAAAAATTAATAGTAATAAACATCGCAGATAACACCTCAAAATCCAGATCTTCAACTTTTTTTGAGTAATTGAAAGAGTTAACTATCCTGAGCCTGAATTTTGTGCACGTAGACAATCTGCTGCCGCTGAGTGACAGGCATCCCAGGAGCTGAGACATGCGTGCCTTCCTGTGTGGCCACAGTCCTGCCTGCCCTACTTCAGTCATTCTGATTTTCTGCTCATTCCACAAGGAGATGTGAATTTATTTCCCCTGAAGAGAAGAATGCATACATATTTTAAAAAATTTGTGGAGGGGTTGAAATGAAACCAAATATTTCAAATAAGGCATGAAAACTTTCATGTAGAGTAACAAGAGGTTAAGAAATATCAGGGGCTTCTTACCCATGGATAAAGCTCTGCTAATGGGGTTCAGGTAAAGTTGGTTATGAATATCAAATGGTTTGATGAAGCCAAAGGACTTCTGTTCCCTTTATTGGTGAAAGTCAGCTTGAGAACATACAGTTGTATTCTTTCCTCCAGCTGTTGTCAGACTGTTAACTCTTTTCTTGGTAGGTCAGTCCACCTGGGGTTCTCTGTTTGCCAGTGCTGAACATACCAAGGACTGAATTCAACGACTTCACCGAGACAAGGTTTATTTTGGAAGAGCTCAATATCTCTGATTCATTCCACATATTCCGAGATGAAATCAATCTGCATCAGCTAAATGATGAAGGAAAGCTATCCATAACACTTGTTGGCAGCAGTGCACTGGCGAGGTGAGCCTCCGGAGGTCTGGTCTTTTCAGGAAGGCTCTTCTGGGCAAGAACCTTGTTCACCATGCTTGTGGTTTAGGGAAATGTATTAAAGGCAGAGGACATTCAGAGAAAAGGAAATGCTTTTTTCTTCTCTCATAACAAAACCTGGGCTATGCCAATTCTCTGTTTTTACTTTTGCATTTTAAATATGACATCTTTGGAAAGTTCTTGTAAAATTGACCAAAATTATCATTTTAAACCACTTCAAACACTTTGTTATAGCAATGCATCTGTCCTGTGTATTGATGCTGAAAATGGGTCATAAAAATAGAAATTAAACACTGAATAAAACTGAAAGGTTCTTAAGGAAGAAATCTCAGCAGTGGAATGGAAATTTATGTCACTGAGCCATGAAAGTCCTTTGATCACTGGTTCATCACTCATAGCATTTTATACTATAAGAGCAGGGTGGATGTTTTTTTTTTGAAGTTCATGTGGTTTGAACTCCACATTTTATGGACAAAAACCCTGCCATCTAGTATTGCAAGGAACTTACCCAAGGTGCCACATGCAGTTAGTAGAGGAGTTTGGATTAGAACTTGGGTCTTCTGCCTCCTTCAATAAGTACTTAAGAATTGTCAACAAGCACAAGAATCTAAAGGTACATAAAGAGTAATAAGACACATTCTCTGCCTTCAAGGACCTTACCACTCAACACAGAGATTGCCCTTTGAGGAGCTCTCTAGTGCTACTGAATGAAGAGTCACAGTTGAATATCTCAGTGTAGTTTTAGATGTTAGTGTTTTTGCCAACGTGCTAATCGTTGATGATATCACAGGCTTTATTAAATTTTTGTGTTACCCTTTAAGACCAACAAATACAAATAAGTATTTAAAAAAAGACGGTTGGCCCTGGCCGTTTTTGCACAGTGGTTAGAGCGTCGGCCTGCCGTCCAGAGAGACCCGGGTTCGGTTCCCACTAACGGCATGTACCTCGGTTGCAGTTTGTCCCCGGCCCTGGCTGGGTCGTGCGGTTAGCAGCCACTCGATTGTCTCTTTCACGTCGGTGTTTCTCTCTCTCCCTCCCACTCTATCTGAACAAAAGATGGAAACAATGTCCTCGGGTGAAGATAAAAAATCAAACAAACAACAACAACAAAATAATAAAAAAGAAAGACAGTTGGAGAAACCAAAGGAGTGCACTATGAAACATGTATCAGTTGAAATCTCAGGAAGAGTTTTGTTACCAATTAAAATGGAAAATTGTTGCTTATTTTGAGGCTGAAGTTGTGAACGTTGGTTTTGAGACTGTTTATGAACTAGAACACTTTTCAAAAACATACTGAGAACTTTATGTCCTTCATTGCTACTCTTTTCTTTTGGGCGTTCAGAAAGAATAAAGTTAGTTTTATTCACATTTTTCTTCCTGCCTTTGATAAAAGTCAACATTATCTCACAGAAAAAAAAAAGATGCTTGTGGAAGTAAATAAGCCAATAGTATTGTTTCCCCAGCACCATGACTGTGCAAGCTTCCGAAGCAGAGTGTCAGAGTCTAAATACAAGCTGGTCTACTTGCAAGCTTTCTGACCTTTGACAAATTTCTTAACCTCTTCCTGCCTCTGTCTCCCCATTTGTAAAATGGGAATTTTAAAAGAACCATTTCATAGGGTCATTTTATAGTGTCAAATGCGACAATACTTCAAAAGTATTTATAATAGTTTCTGACCCAGAGTGGAAGCTCAATTACTATTATTATCATTGCTTTCCTGGAGCAAAACAAGATAGAAGTGGTCAGTTGTGAAGGCACTCTGAGAAGCCTGGGGGACATAGTTAACATGGAGTGTGAAAATACATAGAATAAGGTTCTTCTGAATCATACGCACTCACTTATATTTTTGGCTATTGAGAGGAAGTCATTTGTGTGGGAGAAGAGATTAAATAATTTCAGAAAGTAAGAAAACATGCCATATCTCTTTCTCTTCCTCTCCTCCATTTGCTTGACAGTGAAGACAAAGCTTTAGAATCAGCTGTCGTCAAGGTCATTAGTCCGGTTGAGCGGAGTGATGCTGGGCTTGAGTCTTCCTCCTCCCTCGTGGTGAAAGAGATTCTCCAGGAGGCTCCCGAGCTCATCACCGAGCAGCTGGCTCATCTCCTCAGAGGTGAGATGACTGTTTCTATTAAATACTGGAAGGCTTAATGGAGTGTCTCTCAACTTGCTCATGCAGAAAGAGTGCGATCCATTCTTGGGTTAACAATCCCTTTAAAGACCACGGGAAGCTTCATCAGAGAGGCAGGGAGTAAAGAGTTTGTTAAAGAGTAGCATTATATTGAATATTAAAAATGTGCATTTAAAAATAGGCATGAAGGATCTTTGCTGTTTCAAGACAAGAATATTAACTGGAACTCCCGCACCTCTGTTGGGGAGCTGGAATAGCTCCTCTGGCCCTTTAACAGCTTCCAGAGGTGATTCTTGCCCCACAGTGTGAATATGGGCCAGAATTCCACATTCCCACATTGAACTGTCTCCTGATACTGATGCATGCTTGGTTTCTATAATACTGTTTGGATGGCAAAACTGCACCTTTCGTTTTGGCGATGTTGTGCCTGATGGACTTTTATAGTCGAATGGTCACCTCCTTCTCCTCCGTGTGTAATGTATTCCATCCTCACTCAGCCTGCATTAGGCACTCTGGGCTGGAATCGTCAGTTATTCCCGAGTCTCCATTTCACCTCCATCAATGGAACCCACTACTTCCAAAAAGTGATTTCCAAGTTGGAAATTGTGAGTTGATTTTGTTGCCACAAAATTACCACAAAAGTTCTGTATTGCCTCACTTAGGGCAGTTTGGGGTTTTGTGTTAAGCTTTTTGTCTTTCTACACTCCATTGTGAGCATGATAGATTTTTCTCAGAAGTACTTAACACAAGAAAGTGACAACCAGTGATGAATAGGCTGAAAGGATTAAAAAAGGAAGAAGACCAAGAGAATGTTGACTCAACTCTTTATATGTATGTATATATTTTTATTGATTTTTTTTAGAGAGAGGGTAAGAGAAAGAGATAGAAACATCAATGAGAGAGATACATTGATCGGCTGCCTCCTGCACGCCCCCTGCTGGGGATGGAGCCTGCAACCTGGGTACATGCCCTGACTGGGAGTCCAACCAGGACTTCTCAGCCCATGGAACAATGCTCAATCCACTGTCCCACACTGGCTGGGCATATTTTTATTATTTTACAAGACTCAATTTTTATTATTAGATTCAAGAGACAAAGAGTAACATTTTAATAAATATAATCAGAACAAACAACACAGGGAAAAAGGAAACAAAAACTGTACACATCTTTCATTGCAAGTATAAACAAACCTAAATAAAAAGTTAGAGTGTAACAGCTAGTTCCCCATATTAAAAGCTTAAACACAGTTTTGCACAAATACCGTATGTACCAATATTTAAGTTTTGTACCAAATATTTGTGCAACTATGTACCAATATTTATACTATGTAAAAATATTAAGTTTTTTATGTGATAAATAAACTTGTTTCTTGCTTGTTAAAACATCTACTATAGATTCAGTTAATGACAATGCTACTTACAAAAAATAATTTTTTGTTTTAATAACATGCATAGTAGAGAAACCTGCTCACAGAGGCTTATTAGTGGGAATGGAAGAGGTATTTTAAAGCAATCTCAGCACATTCAGGATATTAATTTAATTTTTTCTGCAGGATTAAGCAAGTGAGGTTATATTTTCAAGAGTCATGTTAAGTCGACTCTGCTTTTAAAGCCTTTCCTTCACTTTCTCTGTCTTTGCCACAATTTGGAGGGAAGGAGTTTAAGAGTCATATTGTTCCTGTAAATGTTTTAGAACTAATGGCCCCAGTAAACCCATTTAAAATATTTTTCTGGCTAATGACATCTGTAAAATACTCTATGGGAAACTGTGCCCTCAACTAAACTAAGTAAGCACAATCATTTATCTCTGTGACAGAGCAGAAGGAAAATAAAGGTAATTGGGGATCTCAGCCAAGAGGAAGGTTGATTGACAGTGCAAATGTGGGATGCAGGCGAACACTAGAGAATATTTTGTTTGCAAACTAGGAAGGTTTGGCTTATTGTTCAAAAAATACATGTGTGATTTAGTAGGAAAGAATTGTAGTCAATGAACAGTTCATCTTCATGATTTTCTCTATAAATAGTAAAATTGTCAAACTGAATACATCAGTACAAAAATGATTTTGTTGTTGATGCTGATGGTGACATTGAGATGTAGGGAATTAGAAGGAAGGTAGACCCTTTTGTTAGGTACCTTGGTGTTAACAAAGCTACCAAGAACCAAAACTATGGTAAAGGACTTTGGTTTTCTTATCATCAGAGATTATTTTCATGGGGTTGGGCTTGAAGTGGGATTAGGAAGTAGCCAGAATAGCGACATCACTTCCTTGTCACTTGAAAATTGGAATGTGAGAGGATGAAGTGCTGCTACCTGTGAAGACTGCCACTACTGATACAACACGAGAGCCAGAGTCTCTGGAGCCTGGGAGGGGGAAGACATTGGGGGCTCATGTAAGTGGAAAGCAGGCTGTGGAGGCATGCCTAGGTGGGCATGTGTGCATACGTGTGCTACATATGTGAAGGGGAGATGAAACGTCACTGAACTAAAGGATGGTGATCCAAAGAGTTTGTCTTTAAAGAGGTAACTGAATTCTTCATAAGGGCAATGGGCAATTTTTAAAAGCTCCTGAATTTTAAGTAAATAAAAGAGTCAAGTCAAATTTTGCATTATTCACTAAACTCACACTTAGATTTTATACTTTTCCAATCGTGTGCTAATACCAAACCTAAAGGAAAGTGTTTCATTTTGTGCCTATAAAAAAATTTTAGCAATTTTTATTTTCATAACATAAAATGTTCTCTTTCTAAAAGATTTCTTGATAAATAGCTATGATGTTATTTTGCATTTTGGGGTGCTCAAAATAATCATTAATTTGACACACATTTCTAGAACATGTCTTTATTCATTCTTCTAGGTCTTGAGGGAATGCAAAATTTCTATGCACACCCTTGCCATAAAGAATTTTGAAAAATGTCTACTTCCAGATGTTGTGAGACTAGGTATTAATGGCTGACTTGGAAGAGTCTTTAAAAGCTTCATAATTAGAACTCTATAGAGATTATATTATTATAAACTTTGTACCAAAAAAAGTACTACACACTAAATACTTAGTCAATTTGGTTGTTCTTTGCCTTTCATTCTCATGGTCATATCTAAGAGCGCATCATGCTGAGACACACTGGTGTGCTATAAATGGATTAAAAGTGGGCCAAGATATTGATCCCCTCTTGGAGAGCACCCTAAGTATGCCTCTTAAGCTGAAAAATATGTAATTTTCAATGCATTTCTTTAAAATTTTTTTCTTTTCTTTATTGATTTTAGAGGGAGAGGGAGAGACATAGAAACATCAATGAGAGCCCTGGTCAGTTTGGCTCAGTGGAAGAGCGTCAGCTTGTTGTCCAGAGAGACCCGGGTTTGGTTCCTGCTAAGGGCATGTACCTTGGTTGCAGTTTGTCCCCGGCCCTGGTTGGGTCATGTGGGTGGCAACCACTTGATGTGTCCCTTTCACGTCGATGTTTCTCTCTCTCTCTCTTCCTCCCTCCCACTCTATCTGAACAAAAAATAGTGGGGAAAAAAAAAGTCTTCAGGGGACGATAAAAAAAAAACAAAACAAAACATTGATGAGAGAAAGTATCCATCGGCTGCCTCCTGCATGCCCCCCATGGAGATCAGGCCTATGGTTGTGGGCATGTGTCCTGACCAGGAATTGAACATGTGACCTCTTGATGCACAGGTTGATGCTCAACTACTGAACCACACTGGCTGTGTTCAATGCATTTCTTAATTTCCAGAAAGTTGGGGCTACACTACCTTAGTTGTGCTTGTTAGCTCTTCTCTGCCCAACTTTTAAGAATTGCAGTTACCCTGGAACTTTGTCTTGGGCATTTTTGCTCTATACACCGACTCATTTAGTTCTGAGACTTTAAATACAGTAGCTAGACTATGACTCCCAGTATCTCCAACTGTAACCTCTGTTAGAATTCCAGGTTTATATCCAGTGCCCAGGTGACATTGTCACATGGGTGTCTAAGTAGCAACACCACCTTTATCATGGCTTTAATGGAACTCTTTAGTTCCCTGTACCTGCAAACCTGCCTTTATCTCAGTTTTCCCATTCCAGTAAAAGGCATTGCCAACCACTCCATTACTCAGGTTACAATCTAGTCTTGCTGATTATACATCTAGAACATAACCATGATCACTACCAGTGATCCAATCCAAGTCACCATGCTCTGTCTACTTGGCTCATGCAATAGCCTCCTGGCAGTTGCCTTATTTCTTCCATGAAATCTATTGCCTATGAAGCAGCCAAAATGACCTTTGAAAAATATCAACCAGGTCCTGCTAACACCCTACTTAAAATGCATCACACTTAAAATCCAAGTGCTCTACCCTTCCAAGCTGCAACACAATCTTCCCCCTCCTACTCTAACATCATCTCATGCTATTTCCCATTTTTCCACTGTGTGTTCCAAGGATAGGAGAATTTCAGTCTTTCAAACATGCCCAACTCTTTCCACTTTTGAGGAGTTACATCAGTTGTCCTCTCCTCTGGAATGCATGTTTCTATCTACTTATCTTTCTTTCTGTCTGTCACTAGTCTCCTCGTCCCTCTTGACCCCGCACTCTAGAATGTAAGCTTCATGAGAAAAGCGACCTTACGTGTTCTGTTCACTGCTCCACTGTCGTATCTCTGGTACTTGGAACAGTGCCTGCCACATAGCGGACCCTCGGTAAATACTGCCATTAAATGAATTTTGGAAGATTGTTTATATACTTTGTTTTTTATGGCTAAATTGATTTAGTTAGTGCTATGATATTTTAATTTCCATTGCATTTCAGTCTCTCTCTCCAACATTCTTAGTGTCCAGACTTTGAACATTGTTCATTCTAATAATCTTTTTTTTTTTAGTGTTTAGAAATCCTACTAGAAATTGTCTTGTTATTTTACAAAAAAAACTTTTAAAACTTATCTTTATTGTGGAATGTATTACAGATGTCCCCCCCTTCCCCTATTGACTTCCTCCCTCCTTGCTCCTGCC